TCTCTCTCTCTCTCTCTCTCTCTCTCTCTCTCTCTCTCTCTCTCTGAATAAGTCATTGATTATTCAAGGCAGTCAGATGGAAGTTTTCTGTTATTGCAGCATAAAACACACTAAGATGGGGAAGTATTTTTTTAATTAAATATTTTTTAAATATCAGCTTTTACCCTATCATTTTACTCTCTCTGTCCCTGATTCAAACTTGGAATAAATAATATTACTGAGGTTAATTTAAAATATGACTAATAGCATTAGTTAAGACACCTTTAATCCTAGTACTTGGGAAGCAGAGGCAGGCAGATCTCTGTGAATTCAAGGCCAGCCTGGTCTACACAGTGAGTTCCAGCCCAGCTAGAGCTACAGGGGGATCCTGTCTCAAAAAGACGAAAAAAAAGGGGGCAGGGGAGACAAAGAAAACATTTATCTGTATTTTCTATCCTATTGGTCATATCTTTCTTGGCTTGCAGAAGATAATTATTTGAATCTTTAAGGGTGAATGAGTCAGTCTGTCCTTCCAGCTCTGGAAAGTGGGCTGCCCTGGAAAAAACATTTCCGCCTGTGAGAAAATGAGCAGGGGGAGAGAAATGTCAGCTCATTCTGATGCCCAGAGATCTGGCTGGAGCACTGCCTATGCTGTCTTCTCCCCAGGGTAGCCATGAAGGAGCCACACCATTCATGAGCATGTGCCACAGGGGTCCCGGGCCTTACATGTTATTCCTTTTTCGAGGTTCTCATAGTAACCACATAAACAAATCTGATGAAGGAGGTTTGGGTGGAATTTCTCAAAAGCTTTGACTTCCTTCAGTCGAGTGAAAATTATGTCCACATCTTCGCTGGATCGTTCCAAAGGTCTGCATGGGTGAGAAAAAGTACAAACAGTGTAAGTATTTATTTAAAAATAAGTCATGAGACATACTTCTAATTACAGTTATTTATTTATCTATCTATCTGTCTTGAGACAGGGTCTCTTTACAACCATGAAAACATTATCCTCCTGATTCCACCTCCTAAGTGTTGGGATTACAGGCATGGCTTAATTACATTTTAATATATCCAATTAGCCCAAGTATTCCACTGCAAACATTTATTCAACTATCTCCATCATAGTGTTCTTGCGCTCGCTCTCTCTCTCTCCCTCCCTCCCCCTCTCTCCCTCCCCTTGTCCACCTTAAATCTCTACTATTACAATGTCTAGAACAGGTCCACTCAAAGTCTTGAGTGCCAGGTAATGTTGGTGGGTCGTGCTTGCGCACTAGGAAGCAGCAGGGTGATACAAAGCACCTGAAAATAGAGTATACTAAAAATTGAAGTCACAAAAATGTCCACAGGGGCCAGTTATGTAAAGGAGGTGAATAATAAGGAGTAAAATCTGTATTTGACCACAGTGGTGAGCACAGAAGACAAATGAGAGGTGATGGGGTGACAGCCTCAGTGAGCAACAGTGGGGTTGATCTTAGCCAGCTGCAGAGATGGGAAGGTCTGACGGAGTGGCCCACACTCACTTGCCTCTTATTTCCTGCTTTCTGTAGAAATGTAGATGAGCTCATATGCTGTCAGAGCTTCTAGCTGTGTAAGGAGTGATGTTTGTTCATACACACACATACATACACACACACAGAGACACACACACACCCCTCTGTGCAATAGTTCCACCCTAATGATCACCATTTCATAATTTCTGGATTAAAATAAACCAAAGGAGCTGGGCATGGTGGTGCATGCCTTTAGTTCCAGCACTCTGCAGAGGCAGGCAGATCTCTGTGAGTTCAAGACCAGCCTGGTCTACATAGCAAGTTCCAGGCCAGCTGGGGCTACAGGGAGACTTGTCTCAAAAAGACAAATAATAATAATAATAATAATATCTGTAAATAAACCCCTATGCTGTTATAAATAAATAAATAAATAAATAAATAAATAAATAAATAAATAAACCAAAGGAAAAGTCAGGTGTAGTAGCTCATGATTTTAATCCCAGGACTCAAAAGGCAGAAGCAGACAGATCTCTGTGAGTTTGAGGCCAACCTGGTCTACACAGGAAGTTGCAGGTCAGCCAGGGCTACAAAGTAAGACCTTTTCACTAATTAAATAAGTAAATAAATAAACCCCAGGGCTAGGTGTAGTAGTAGCACATGACTTTAAACCCAGCTCTCAGGAGGTAGAAGCAGGAAGATTCTGAGGCTGAGGGCCAGCCTGGGCTACACAGCAAGAATCTGTCTAAATAAATAAACTACAAGAACCAAACAAAAGGATAGTCTTATAAATGACATAAACTATTTCCTTCATTTCTTTGAGCAGTTTTCCAAGTGCAGTGGTGCCTTCTGACATTTTTCACATTACCCAGAAACCACCCAGTCTCAGGTACGCTGTGAGTATTCCAGGATCAGAAGGAAGGAGTTGGCAAGAAAAGAGACAAGAAATGTTCACAAATACCCATGCACTCCCCCGAGCTTATCAGCCTCCCCTTGTAGCTGCTGGGACTAGTATGGACTGTGAATCAAACTGGCATCTGTCCTTTCTGAGAAGAGACTGCAACGGCATCTCTCCCATCTCTCTCTCCTCAACCACTGCTTTGACAAGTGAAATAAACTGAATTGTATCCTCCACAAAGTTACGCTGAAGACCTCGTATACACAGCCTCATGTGACAATGGAATCTTCATGGATGAAATTAAGTTGAGGTCAGACTGGATGAGGGTAGGCTCTAATCCATGACTTGTACCTTACAAGAGGGAAATTTGGAATTAGTCAGAAAAGGTCAGCCATGTGAAGGTAGAGGCTGAGGTTAATGTATCATACATACTTCTGTGGACGGCTAGCAACCATCAGCAGGTGGAAAGGGCACAGAAGGATTCTTCCCTAGAGACCTCAGAGAAAACACTGCTCCATCAGCACTAATTTCAGACTTGTAGCATCCAGAATCATGAGAGAATAAAGTGGCATTGTCCAACCATGCAGTTGTTAGTGTCTTTGGAAGCCCTAGAAAACTAACGCAGAAGGTATGGGCGATGGGTAATCTAGATTGTCAACTTGAAAGGATCTAAAACTCATCTAGAAGAGGAGACTTCTAGGCATGTGTGTGTAGCAGTTCCCAGAGAAAATTAACTGAGGATGTAAGATGCACCCCAAATGTGGGTGGCACCATCCCATGGGCTGGGCTTCCAGACTAAACACAAAGTAGAAAGCTGAGCACTAGCATTCACCCCCTTCTGCTTTTTGGCCTTGGACACACACACAGTGACCGGCTGCCTCACACTCCTCCTGCCTTTCCTTTTATGGTAGGCTGCACCCTCAGACCACAAGCCAAAAGAAAACCTTCCTTAAGTTGCTTTTGTCAGGATATTATCACAACAAGAACAGGAACTAATACAATGTGTTTTCCAATGTTCTCACCATAGAATACGGACCAATGTACAACCCACAAAAGACTGTAGGTAGGCAATTCAACTTCCATTGTGTGAAGGTGCTGGGATTGGGGGTAGGGGAGTCAGCACAGCATCATGTGGCATTACCCAGGCTACTAAAGAGGGCAGAACTAAATGTACCAGAGCTCCCAGCAACTTGGAACACATTCCACCAGAAGATATGAACTCTATTGGAGAACACAAGCAGATAACTATCACTAGGGAAAGCCCTAAGACACAAGCTCTAAGACTCTCTCTACCCACTCTCATCCTGCCAGACCTATGAAAACTAGATTCAAAGAAAATGCCTGCTAGCCTCCCAACTAACTCCCATAGAAAAGGTGTGGATGGTAGTTCCTGGGGAAGAAGAGAACAAGGATATGCAAGATGCAAGTGCTCAGTTGTTGACATGACAAAGCTCCTGAACGAGCTGAGGGATCCACAGGTCTTACTTAGTGCTGTGGTTTGCATGTGCCCCTACAAAACTCGTGTGTTGGAAACTTAATCCCCAAGGCAACCATGTTGAGAAGTGGGACTTTTAAAAAGTAATTAGTCCATGAGGGCTCTGCACTCATGAATGGATCATGCTGTTACCATGGGAATGGGTTCCTGATTAAAAGGATGAGTGTGCTCCCTTTCCCTCCCTTATCCTCCTCCTGTCCTTCTCCCTACCCACTTCTCTCTGACTTCTGCAAACACATATGCTCTTGCTTTATGCTTTTTTCCTGGGATTATGCAGTAAGAAGGCCCAACCAAGTGTGATATCCCCTTATCTTCCAATGGACTGTCCAGACTCCAGAACTATAACAGGTAAATTTCCTTTATAAATTACCCAGACTGGGAGGCTGGAGAGATGGCTCAGCAGTTAAGAGCACTAACTTTTCTTGCAGAGGACCCAGGTTCAATTCCCAGCACCCACATGGCAACTAACAATTGTCCATAACTCCAGTTCCAGGGGATCTGACGCTTTCTTCTGACCTCTTTGGGCACTGCATGGCACCGCTGCACTTACACATATGCAGGCAATATACATAAAATAAAAACAATAAATAAAATATCTTTTTAAAAATATTACCCAGTCTATGTGCTTCCTTATAGTGGCACAGTACCTAGTATCAGGGCCTCTGTCTACTCACCACCTTTGGATGGCTTTCAAACTCCCTATTAGGAGCACAGTCCTCACGGCCCAGGGCTTTAGAATACAGCTAGGGCTTCAAGAGTGAACAAAGTGCTGACAACTCTCAGAGGCTGTGTGAGCCTGGAGGGAAGTCCTTCCAGGACAGAGAGAACAACAGCAGCGGGCACAGGCATCACTCACAGGGCATCCAACCCAGATGGTACACTTCACACATCCTGGGAAACACTGTTGGCACCAGTAGGGAGTCAGGTCACTGCCATAGGAGCACTGGGACTGACCCAAAGCAAGGGCAGCCTGGAAATGACCTCGGGAGGGGTGGCAAAGCTGTACGGTCACCTCAAAGTGAGCTCCCCTCCCCCACTACTGCACTGCACTGCACCCCTACCTCCACACAGGGAGCACGCTCACCCTCCACTATGACCTGAAGATATTCCCAAAAATTCACGTTGGAAATCAATCCCTAATGCAACAGTGTTGGGAAGAGGAGCACAGTAGAAGGTACTTAGGTCACAGGGCTCTATCCTCCTGAATGGAAGAAGCTGTTGTGAAGGGGGATGTGGGAGTGGGTTCCCCGCTTCTGCCTTCTGCCATAGGATGGAATGCTAGGGAAGGCCCTAGCAGACACTGGACTCTTGATCTTGACTATCCAGCCTATAGAACTGTGGGAAATATACTTCTATTCCTTGTAAGTTACTCAGTCTCAGGTATTCAGGTACAGCAATGCAGAATTGGCTTCTCTCCCCAAATCTACATAATTCTACCCACCAGTGTGCTTCACATACATCCCCTCCCTGAGCCCCTACTGTTCCATATCAGCTGAGCATGAATTGAGGGCACAGGAGGCCAGTGTTGGGGCATGAAGCAGAGCAGCATGGCTGTCCTGTCTTGGGGAGCTAGAAGGCTGGGTTCTGATTAAGAGTCAGCAAAATTATTTTAAGCAGGGAGTGATGTGATTGGATGCTTGTTTTGGAAAGATCACCTTGACCTGGGCAGAGCAGATGGGAGCTGGTGAGGACCAACAGCCAAGAGATGTCCGGACGCTCTCCCAGTGTGCTGAAATGATGATGCCGGTTCTCTAATTATAATTCACTCTAGGCTCCTCTCTTCCTCCTTAACAGGGTGGGCAGCTGTTCCCCCAAGTAAAAGCTCCAGGTACAATAAGTTATTTTTCTTAGTCTGACATATAACATCCATGCCCATTTTTTAAATTACTTAAAACTTTCTCACTTTTCTATTGGCCACTGATTGCTGCTAGATGAGGAAGAGCTGATCTTCTTAAAACAAGGAACTCTAGATAGGCTGACTAGATTCAG